TCCCCCGTGCAACTCTTGTTTCCAGCTCTATCTGTCTGAGAACACAACCAACCCAGCGCTGCCAAAGCAAGTTAGTGGCTGCTCAAGAGAAGGCTGTTTTCTGATCTGCCTTTGCCAACGCCAGCTTGGCTACTGGCAGCAATCCTATGTCAGAGCCCAATAGCTTTTTGCCCACCATAGCCACAGCCCACGGCAGATTAGACAAGAGGCAGCAGCGCTGGCACTCGGTGTCGAGGGCAGGACAGGCTGTCTCTGCCAACCAGCACTAATTCTGCTTTTCTTCCCCTGTAAGAAGAGATCCACCTCTGTGCTGCAGCGCCTCGGAAGCCTGAGTCATTGCTTTGGGGAAGGGGCCAGGGCCGTTACTCAGAGGGTGACAGCAGTGGCCCGGGGGAGCTGCCAGGCCAGGCAAGTGCCAGAAACCCTGAGTCAGAGCATGACTTCTGCGAGTCGGGGCTGAGGGTGAGACACAGCAGAGCTGGGCAGAGGCAGCAGCACTCACTGGACAACCATTCGGGCACATGCTTAAAAACAACAAAAAAACCCAATTAAAATAGAAGTCTGAACTAATCTAGACGTGCTGCCCTAACAGCTCATTAACATCGGATCTTTTATAGCCGCTCGGAGCAGTGGCGTATTACAAGTTAAACTCTTTAACCAGGCTGCCCTGTCTATTCAGAGCCACCAAGCCAAGTCTCATCACAAGAGTCTCATTCTAGTGCAAATCATTTGAATCCTTAATCTGAAGCGTTTGCATTCCAGCGAGTCTCAAACAAACAGCCACACACGCTCGGCAGCAGCGGGCCCAGAGGTCAGGCGTGCGCAGGGTTTGTCCCCGCCGGTTTTGTGGTGCTTCAACGACATCAGCTTCTCCTTTGAGGCTGTAAAAGCAGCACAACCCTGCTGCTGTTAGAGGGCATAAAGGGACAAGCTGTACTGAGCAGAGGGGGAGAATGCAGCTGCGAGGATCTAAGAGCAGGCTGAAGAGGATAGAGTGTGAACTCAAGAGCAAGGAAGTGTTTTGAAAGATGGACACTCCGGTTTTATCTGGCTGAAGTGGTAACTGGGGAGCTCTCTGGGATCAACGAGCCACAATAACTCAACCAAGTAATCTTACGAGTCAACTTCAGTCAGGCACATTGCAGACCACAGAACCACAGTTACCGTGCTTCCCCTTGTTGGTACAGTCACTACCAGTGAATTAAAAAAAGAAATGGTGTTAAAGACAAAGCCATCCATCCATCCACTCGAGGGAGAACAAAACACAACACAACTTAAAGCCAGCACATTTTCAACAGAGCGTTTACCAGCACCGGGAGTTGGAGGGAAGGGAAAAGCAGCCACAGGATTTGTGCTGAAGCCTGCCTGCCCAGCAGGTAGCCAGGTGCCCTCCTCTCCATCGTCACTCTGAAACTCAGGTTAGCAGCTTCCAGTGGACAGGAAGAAGTCCCACTTCCAGGTGGAAGTGGGACACAAGCATACCAAGAGGGCAGTAAGCCACCATAGGAAAACCATGGCAAGATCACATTAGTGGAGTGTAGTGGAGCTCCACTCCAGGCTTTTGGACACATAGGAAAAAACATTTGCAAGATTGTCAGACTGGATATGGGCAGGTGTCTGCAGGACCTCGAAGTGCCAGGGCCTTGGAAAGCAACAACAGGAGGGGCAGGAAAGAGGGCAATCATATTCGCTCTAGGAAGTTGAGGCTGTTGGCCAATGAGTCCCCGGTATCATGAGTCTGAAAAGTACCAAGATTAGCCCTGATTTGCCTCTTGCGTAAGCTGTTCGGAAAACTCTGAATCACAAGAAAATGTTCTCCAGCATGGGAACTGGCAGGCGCTTAGGACAGAGGAGAACTGGGCAGCAGCACTGTTTCCCTGACTGCGCCCCAAGCACCGCAGGGTGACTGCTACAACCTGCCTGGGCACCTCCATGGCGGGTATGGACAAGGTGCCAGGCTGCAGGGGGACCGTGCACCCCCAGACTCCCACCCCATGAGCTGTGTACGCAGTTCAATGAGGTACTATGTGCTAGAGAGACTACTTCTTTCTACACATTACAGGCTTTTCATCCTGACTCTGGTAGCCAGCTCTAGGTTTGGCTACCAGAAGTCATGGGCTCCTTCCCTTCAGGACTAAGACACTGTAATTTTCCTGCTCTATGTTTTAGGGAGGCTGAAGGAAAGCCTCCCTAAAACCTCTACATGTTCTGCTGCCCCGTGAGTTTGCCAAGTCAGAAGGTAAAATAAAGTAAAAACGTGCAGATAGCAATGTCTTGATTTGATTGGGAGGGACAGATGAGAAACTGGGCAAAGAGCAGAAAGAACAGGCCTCGGGGATCAATGGCAGCAGGACAAGCCAAACCGGTTTTAACATTAATAATGCTGCACTACTTTCCAAACACAGCTATCATCAACAAGACACCAGCTTTGCCAATCAGGAGGCCTCCAAGCACGATTGCTTTAAACCAGCAAACAGAGCTCACAAACAGCATGAAGCCTCCCCCCTCTCTCCCTGAGCAACCCTCTGCCAGCAGCTTCTGGGCTGGATTTCTGCTTGTCTGCACTGCTGGGACACACACACATGATGTGGTGCCACACGGAGGCTTTTCCTGCTTAATTCAAGGCAGGAAAGTAGAACTGCTGGAACAAGCTTGCAGGCCATCAGCAGTGCTATGGCCCTGCTGGGCTCAGGGCGCTCAAGCCCTCTTGCAGCTCCAACGCAGGAACAGCCCAAGGGGACACCTCTGCTGCAGGGGAATAACCCTGGTTTCCCTCCTGTGCTGCCAGGGGCACTTTTAGATGCAAAAAGCACGAGGAAATGCTCAAGGATGCTACTCTGGCCAAGCAAGGCAGACCTCAAGTCCTTTGTCAAGTCCCCGATGCCATTTCTTGGCCACACTGGTGGCTTTCTGCCCACCCCCAGCTGCAGGCCCCCAAAGCATCTTCTGCATGAACCCCATCCTCACACAGCCCAAGCAGAGCCTCACACAGCCCTTGCTTTCTATCAGAGAAAGGGCTGGGGACCACCAAGAGACACGGGGCTTCAGCTCCAGCCTCTCCCCTGCCCCACGGGAACAGGAGGATGTTCTCACACAAAGCTGTTGTAACACAACCCACCCACGGCCCAAGCACCAACGTCACACTTCGGCCCTTCAGTAATATTCCCCACCCTCTTACACATCCGAAATTGCTTCACGTGGAGAAATCCCATCTACACCAGAAAGCCAGGCAGGGGGAAAGGAGCCAAGGCATTTTTGTTTGTACAGGCTTGGGGAAATATTCAAGCACCGAATCACTCTCCAAAGCCATGCTCTTACATAAGCAGGAGAAATACAATCCCCTTCTTGTTAAGAAACAGCTACCTGTCTTCACCCTGCCCGCATAGAAAAACTGAGAGCCACATGCTGTGCAGCACTGCACGTTTTGGGAGTGCTATTAAAAAAAAAAGAAAGTAAAAAAAATTTGGGAGGAGCGCCAGCAGAACTCTCCCAAACAGTGTGTCATCACTGTCTCCTCCCCAGCAGCCCGTAACCCAAACAATTTGTTTGGATAAGGCTTTATAGTAGGCCAGTGTTAATTCTGAAGCACACACTCCATCTTAGGTAGCTTAAAAGATATGGACAAATCCTCCGTACAAGCTCTATATAAGGGATTCCAGAATACAGCTGTGCAAAATTTGTTGTCTTTGCAGAAATCCGACGCTTGCAGACCACTCCGTTCCCCAGGGACACCCAGTTGCATTTCATACCAAACATGGTCAATGCAACTTCCAGATGCCGTGTGCCCCAAAGGTTTGCCCTACTAGTTTGGGCCAGTTCTCAAATGAGCGATTCACGTGCTTAATAGCCGGGATAAAGACACCAGATTAGAGTAAAGTGGATTTGGGCTGGTTGGTCTTAGCAGAGAGTAGCTGACAATTACTACAGATGCTCTCTGTGGGAGTTTCCTACTCAACAGCAACCCCCCCAACCCCGTGTCCCTATTAAAGAGCAATGGAGCAGCAAAGACTTATCAGTTCTGATCTGCCCACCCAGCCTTCCGCCCAGAAGGAAGCAATGTGGGTGATTAAACCTTGTTTGGAGACCCCCTGATCTCCCGCGGTTACCTTAATCTCTGCAGCTCTTTCAGCCCGGCAGAGGAATCTGCTCCGACCACGCTATCAGCAGGACAGGGACACACACAAAACACACAGCAGGGAAGGCAGAATCCCAAAATCTCTGCTTCACCGCAAAGATCCCACACGTGCCCAGCTTGAAGCATCTGAACTGTTTTGCATCATTATATATTTATGCGACTCTTAAACCCTCCATGGCCATGAATCTTTTTTTCTCTCCCGTGTGGAGGTGAGGAAGGTTTGATACACACAGAAAGACACCAGGTACCAGCACAACCAAACCCTGGAAAGCCTCCCCAGGTGCTGTAACGCCCTGCATGTATCTAACCCATCCCACGTTCACAATAAAAGAGGGATTAGATGACTTAAGTCCACGACCAGCAGTTGGAGATCAAAGCTGTAATGGAGAGCAGTTTGTTTCTATCACGTACCCTTGTACCCTGAACTGCTCTAATTCCACCGAACCCGATTAGGGAAGAGCAAGAGGAGGCTCAGCAGCACGTAGGGGGACAGAAGGGATGTGTGAGGAACGGCACAGCCACCAGGACAGCCTGGGACAGGGCAGGGGGGCTTACATGGGCCAGGACAACGCCGCTTTGGCATCAAACGGAGGAAGCAGCGTGCAAGCCAAGAAGGAGACATGGAAACCAGAGGAGGGAATAAGAGCTGCCCTATTGCCATTAACTCATTTTGCCCCCCCCAGCTTTCCCAGAGAAGGACAAATGGTGGGCACCGGTGGCATTAGCCCTTGGGCGAGCATAACCCACTGTAAGCGTATCCCCGGCCGAGCCCCCCTCCCCAATACTGGGAATACCCTTCCCTACCGGTGCAGGGAGATGGGTAGGAAGGTGAAGACCCCCCCTTTCTCCCTCCCATTGAACTCACCGATTCGGCGGCGATGACTTGGAGAAGGAGGAGGCCGAGCAAGAGGGCGGCGCGGAGCACCGGGGAAACACGGAGCAGCGGCATGGCCGGGCTGATGGCTGGCTGAACGGATTCGCTCACCGGCTCTCGGATCGGCTTCTGGCCGCCCCCGGCTCGCCGTTGCCGTTCTTATAGCGCCGGTGCCGCCCCCGCGGGGGAGGAGCGGCGGCGGCGGCGCTCCGCCCCACCGGGAATGCCCGCGGCCTCCCGCCGCCGCGCCGGGGGTGCGGAGCGGGGGATGCGGGGCGGAGACCCCGCATCCCCCGCTCCGCACCCCCGGCGCGGCGGCGGGAGGCCGCGGGCATTCCCGGTGGGGCGGAGCGCCGCCGCCGCCGCTCCTCCCCCGCGGGGGCGGCACCGGCGCTATAAGAACGGCAACGGCGAGCCGGGGGCGGCCAGAAACCGATCCGAGAGCCGGTGAGCGAATCCGTTCAGCCAGCCATCAGCCCGGCCATGCCGCTGCTCCGTGTTTCCCCGGTGCTCCGCGCCGCCCTCTTGCTCGGCCTCCTCCTTCTCCAAGTCATCGCCGCCGAATCGGTGAGTTCAATGGGAGGGAGAAAGGGGGGGTCTTCACCTTCCTACCCATCTCCCTGCACCGGTAGGGAAGGGTATTCCCAGTATTGGGGAGGGGGGCTCGGCCGGGGATACGCTTACAGTGGGTTATGCTCGCCCAAGGGCTAATGCCACCGGTGCCCACCATTTGTCCGTCTCGGGGAA